CCAGTCAGTTGCATCTCCTTCTGTTGGCAGCTGGCACAGTTAGCAAGTGCATGGGGTAAGTGGGCAGCAAGCATGGGTTTTTGGTTCCCAGTGGAAACTATGTCTAGAACATTAAAACAAGATTGCTGGCATAGAGGACACCTGGTTTACAATACTTCCTTTTGAAATTCTTCAACTTTCACATGACTATTCTAATTTTAAAAAAAAAATCTCTCCAAAGTGACATTAGCCATCTTATTTTTTGTTTGTTTGTTTTCAATCCTTGAATTCTACAAGATGCTAGTTTCCTGTGGAAACCAAGCTTATAACAAATGTAAAGCCAGCCCACTAACAAGCAAAGCGGGCTTTGCTTTGAATCTCAAAATCCTCGGGAGTTATATTAGAAAGAGAAACAGAGACTGTCCATAAGATCAGTGATTCTCAAGACAAAGGAGATGCTTGGTCAGGATCGAAGTCTGAAAAACTCAAGAGAGCAAGGGCTTCTTCAGGACATCTGATCAGCAAAAATGTTCTGCCACTTAAACTGGAGAGTGTAATGAGCATTTCTATAAGCAATCTTACAACTGCAGCTATCTAAAATAGCCCAGATGTCACTGAGAAGAGATATTTCTGCATGAAAGCTAATAATGGAGAATGTTTGAAATGAATCCTCAACACATATGACTGCCTTTTAACCTTATCTTGACCTCAATCTTAAAGGATTCCAATGGATTTTTTTTTTATTCCAAGTTATGTATCTGTCAGTCAAGATGGTAGTTCCATAAGCATTAGACACTTGTTCTGAGCTGGTCTAAGCTTTGAACTGATAATCAATTAAAAACAGTGGCTTTCTGTACATGCTATTTCAGAAGAAAAAGGCAAAAATCATACCCTAAGCATTCTGTTTTTAATTAAAAGCAGATTGTATACTAGTGTGAATTTCAAAAATATTTCTATTTTCCCTAAGTAAATAGGTTAATGGATATTAATGACTTATTTCAGTAATACTCATAAAACTTCACATTTAATCTTACATAGGAACTGTATTTGTGATACATGACAGCATCCCTTGATGGACCTACCATCATTAAAAGTTTTATGGTAGAAAAAAATCCTAAAAGTATTCCAAAAAGCAAATCTTGGCATTAGCAATTAATGGCGTGAGATCCTAAAAGCATCAAGAAACATTACAAACAGTGTGCTTCTGTGAAGGTATGGTATCTCCAAACTAAACGACTCAACAGGAAAAATCTCAGCCCGAAACATGGCCATATTCAAATTAAATTATCCCTGTTTCATGTTTTTTAAACTCTGCCACTCAACTTCATGACACTGTACAGTTTTTATTACAAACTACATGATTGGAATGTCTAAAACTTTTGCTTAAGATGAATGCCACTTTATTTTCACTCTGATCACACTTGATCAGATTTATTTGTCTCTCTGATATGACCTAGGGTTTCCTATCAGATTCTACATGAGTATTTAATATCAGTTATAGTTTTAGATACACTATGTCTTAAAAGTTAATGTACTTTTCTTGAAAAATATTTTATCACTGAAATATGCTAATCATCATCTGAGCCTTCAGCAACTTGAAATCTTTTACTGGGTGGTGGGTCTTACCTCAATGTTGAAGGCCACTACTGGCCACTCAATGTTGGTGGCCACCACTTGGTTGCTCAAGGTTGAGGTAGCTATGGTAATTTCTTAAAATAAGACAATGATGAAGTTTGCCACAATAATTGTCTCTTCCTTTCACAAAAGATTTCTCTGTGGCATGCAATGCTGTTTGATGGCAGTTTACCCACAGTAGAAATTATCTTAAAACTGAGCTCAGTAAGGCCAGGTGTGATGGTACACACCTGTAATACCAGCACTTTGGGAGAATGAGGCAGGTGGATCACCAGAGTTTAAGAGTTCGTGACCAGCCTAAGATAGTGAAACCCTGTCTCTACTAAATAAAAAAAAATAAGCCGGGCGCGGTGGCTCAAGCCTGTAATCCCAGCACTTTGGGAGGCTGAGGCGGGCGGATCACAAGGTCGAGAGATCAAGACCATCCTGGTCAACATGGTGAAACCCCGTCTCTACTAAAATACAAAAACTAGCTGGGCGTGGTGGCGCATGCCTGTAATCCCAGCTACTCAGGAGGCTGAGGCAGGAGAATTGCCTGAGCCCAGGAGGCGGAGGTTGCGGTGAGCCAAGATCGCGCCATTGCACTCCAGCCTGGGTAACAAGAGCGAAACTCCATCTCAAAAAAAAAAAAAATAAATAAAATAAAAAAAAAAATAAAATAAAAAAAATAAAAAATAAAAAAGCCAGGCATGATGGCACATGCCTGTAATCCAAGCTACTTGGAAGCTTGAGACAGGAGAATTGCTTGTACTTGGGAGGCAGAGGTTGCAGTGAGCTGCGATTGTGCTATTGCACTCCAGCCTGGGCAAAAGAGTGAAACTCCATCTCAAAAAAAAAAAAAAAAAAAAAAAAAAAAAAAAAAAAAATTTAACTCAATACTCTCAAACTCTGATATCTTCACCAGGGGCAGATTTCATTTCAAGAAAACACTTTCTTTTTTTAATAAATAAGTTACAACTTCTCATTTGTGCAAGTTTTTAATGAGATTGCAGTTCAGTTACATCTTCAGTCTCTACTTCTAGTTCTCTTGACATTTCTACCACATCTTTAGTTACTTCCTCCACTGAAGTCTTAAACCTCTCAAAGTCATCCATAAGGGTTGGAATCACCTTCTTTCAAATCTTTGCTAATGTTGATATTTTGACCTCCTCTCATGTATCATGAATATTCTTAATGTCGTCTAGAATAGTAAATCCTTTCCAGATTTTCAGTTTATTTTGCCCAGATTGATCAGAGGATGGCATCATTATCTTTGGCAGTTATAGTCTTAGAAAATATATTTCTAAATAGAAAGACTCAAAAGTCAGAATTACCCCCTGATCCATTGGCTGCAGAACAGATGTGTTAGCAGGCACGAAAACAACATTAAGTTCCTTGTACAGCTCCATCAGAACACTTCAAAGGCCAGGTACATGGTCAATAAGCAGTAATACCTTCAAAAGAATCTTTTTTTTTTTCCTGAGCAGTAGGTCTCAACAATGGGCTTAAAATATTCAGTAACAATGCTATTCAGTAACAGATGTGCTATAATACAGGCTTTGTTATGCCATTTACATAGCACAGGTTGGGTAGACTTCACCTAATTCTTAAGAGCACTAGGATTCTTGAAATAGTGAATGAGTGTTGTCTTCAACTTAAAGTCACCTGCTGCATTAGCCCCTAACAAGAGAGCCAGCTTGTCCTTTGAAGCCAGTCATTGACTTCTCTATTCTAGCTATGAAAGTGCAAAATGGCCTCATTGTCCAAGAGAAGGCTGTTCTGTCTACATGGAAAATCTGTTGTTTAGTGTAGCCACCTTCATCAGTGATCTTAGCTAGATCTTCTGGATGATTTGCTGCAGCTTCTCCATCAGTACTTGCTGCTTCACCTTGCATATTAATGTAATGGAAACAGCTTGTTTCCTTAAATTCCTCATGAGTCAGCCTCTGCTAATGTACGACTTTCCTTTTGCAGCTTTCCCACTTCTCTTCCATTAGTAGAATTGAAGAGGGCTGGTACCTTGCTCTGGACTAGGTTGTGGCTTAGGGAATGTTATGGCTGGTTTGATCATCTGTCCAGACCATTAAAACTTTCTCCTCATTGGCAGTAAGGCTGTTTTACTTTCTTATCATTCATGTGTCCACTGGAGCAGCACTTTTAATTTCCTTCAACAACTTGGTACAAGAGGCCAAGATTTCAGCCTATCTCAGCTTTCAACATACTTTCCTCACTAACTGTGATCATAGCTAGCTTTTGATTTAAAGTGTGATTTAGTATGCAACTCTTCCTATCACTTGAACACATAGAGGCCATTGTAGGTCTATTAGTTGGTCTAATTTCAATATTGTGTTTTAGGGGATAGGGAGGCCCAAGAAAAGGGAGACAGACATGGTAATGGTGGGTCAGTGGAGTAGTCAGAACCACATTTACCAAGTAAGTTCACTACCTTATATGGGCACAGTACATAACACCCCCAAACAATTATGATAGTAACATCAAAGATAACTGATCACAGATCACCATTACAGATAGAATAATAGTAAAAAGGTTTGAAATATTGTGAGAATTATCAAAGTGTGACAGAGACATGAAATGAACACACGCTTTTGGAAAAATGATCCCGACAGACTTCCTTGATGCAGGGTTCCCATAAAACTTCAATTTGTAAAAAATGCAATATTTTCAAAGGACAGTAAAGTGAAGTGCAAGAAAACAAGGTATGCCTATATTACCTTTTCATCTGGGGACTTGCCAATGACCCAAGAGAGCCAGAAAAGGGAGGACTATTTTGTTTTCCTTTAGAGATATATATATATTTTTAATTCTAGCATCCCCACATCAATGTCTCCACTACTTCTTCCTTCCTCAAATTGTCTCCTAGAAAACAGATTTTCTTTTACTGTTTTTCTTTTTCTGGAACTACTACTTGGGTCAGCAACATTTTCTCAGAGTAACTGTCGACAGAACGGAGAATGATGTTCTTGCCAAAGATTCATTTCTAAGGATGTCTTTCAAATATTTCTTTCTTTTTTGAAAAATGGTGCTCCCTGGTTGGAGGTCCTCAAATGCCACTCTTTCAAACCTTTTCCTGATGAGTGGCTATAAATAGCAGGACTAACTCTGGTGTTTCAAATAAACATCTCTAAACAATTTCTTGGGTCATTCTCTCATTTCATAAACAGTTATTTTTCAAAGGAACAAATGTAAATATTATATGTATATATATTCTAAAGAGGCTAGATATGTAATAAAAGAGAGTAGACGGGGTATTCAATTGTATCAGAAACAGAGACACTTAAGAAAACCTAGTTATATTTGACTTGCTGCTTCAATTTTCCGTATAAACAAAGCCCAGCTAGTCTCTTTTAAGAGTCTGCAATTTTTAGATGTAGTTAGTGGTCTCATACCTTCATCTTTACAGCCTTCAACTGCCTCATCTGAAGCGGGACCAGGCACAGTGACAGTGTTGACACCATCTATAAAACAGAAAAAGAAACTGCTTCAGACTTCATCCTTCCAGAAGTCCAGCTGTGGCTTTCCCAGCCTGCACCTCCCTCCATTCTCCACCAAAGAAAGCCTGAGCCTGATGCCTGCTTGATTACACAGAATGCTCCTTAAAGGGGCTAGTGGTTTGGGACTCTCTTTTATAATTAGTGAAACAGAAACCTTCAGTTAAACCAGAGACCAATGGGCTACAATCTATTTTTTTGGTGAAGAATGCTATTTGTTTCTAGTTGCATCCTCTGGCATTTTGTTTTTTTCCTCACCCCTCAAAAGGCATGTATTTTTCTTGGTAACAGATTGTGAAAGAATGTATATCCTTGCAAGTTCCTACAAAGTGCTTTTATGTGTGTGCTTCTAAAGTTTGTTTTTTCTTAGCACAGCACTTCTGCTCCATTATGCCAGGCTGTCAAACTGCAGGGAGCAGCTCTGATGGCTGTCAGTGCAGAGGCTGGAAAGAAGGGGAGCATTCGACACAGGGCACCAGCAGCCATGAGGCGCTTTCATGTCACCTGAGGGCAGAAGGGGAGAAAGGGGAGTAAGGACGTGGGACTCTCTGTTCCCCTCACGGCACCAATTAACCGCATTAGAGTAGACCTCTCTCCTCAGTGTCCTTAGCCCCCGGTGACTCTAGCCATGTTTGGCCTCCAGGATAATAGCTAGCCTACTCCCATTCAAACAGCAAATCTAGACAGGAAGTTTTACTACAATCATTTGCCATGTTTAATACCTGATAACTGGAAAAGGAATATACACTCACACACACACACACACACACACACACACACACACACACTATGAACAAACGGTGGGCTAGAAAATATGTGATTTGTGATTTGCTTCTGAATGTGTGTTCGTTTTCATGCACATATGAGTTATCTTTAGTTCTATGACCCTGCTATACATAAAAAACTATGTACATGTGTGTGGATATATATATATATATATATATATATATATATATATATATATGTATTATATATATAATATATATAGTTTATATGTATAAATATGCTATAGTTTATATATACTATAGAGTATATATATAGTATATATATATATAGTATGTATAGTTTTTCATGTAGTAGCAGGGAATATGTATAGTTATATAGTTATATATATGATATATATAGCTATATACATATATTACATATAGTTTATATGTATAAATATGCTATATATAAACTATAGAGTATATATAGTATACATATATAGTATATAGTTTTTCATGTAGTAGCAGAGAATATGTATAGTTATATAGTTATATACAATAGTAACATATAGTTATATACATTCCCTGCTACTATATGAAAAACTATATATAGACATTATATATAGGCATTATATATATGCTTGTATACTGCTCACAGTATATATACACATTATGTAATGTGTATATACTATATATATATTATGTGTGTATATATGTGTAAATATACTATATGTACTCTAGAGTTTATATATAGTATATTTATACATATATAGTATATTTATATATATAACTCTATAGTTCATATACACACACACACACACACACACACACACACACACACACACAGTTTTTTATGTAGTAGCAGGGTCAGGGACTAAAGATAATTCATATATGCATGAAAACTAACATGTATTTGGAAAAAAATCACAAATAAGATCTTTTCTAGCCCATCTTTTGTCCACGATGCATGTACTATGACTTTCAGGTCAAGTGTCCTTTGGAACAGAACACTCTCTCACCATCTCATTATTTAGATCTCATTTTAACTATCACTTCCTCAGAGAGTCTGTCCCAAACCCAGACCATAGAAAGTTGCCTTCTGGGCATTCCTTCTGGTTCCTTATTTCTCAGCAAGGCATTTATCACTATTGATGTTTTTATCATTTTTATTTGTTTATTGTTTGGAACCCCCACCAGAATATAAATTTCAAGGAAACAGGGATGTTGTTTTTATTGATTGTTGAGTATATTTTTCAGTGCCTGGAATGGTGCCTACACTACAATGAATCCTTGATAGGAATTTGTTAAATTTTTTGGAAGATTATTATCTACAACTTTGATCTGATTTGATCATGACAACAGTCAAAACTGCTGGATTACACTGTTTTGAGATTGTGTTTTTTCATGATGTGTAAGAGGCCTGCACAGCTACATAATCAAAATTGTAGCTGGAAATTATATTGCATGAAAAGAAGATACTTTTATTTTGGAAAAATACCAGCAGGTCCAAAGAACTTTAACGACCCATAACCACATCTTCGATTTCTCTCCGCTCTGACTAGGAGGACATGAAATGCGCAGTGTGAACGTAACGATGAGCGTTGACGCTGGCCAGGATTATAGGTGGATTCTGCCACTGGCCTCTGCCAGCCAGTGAGCTCACTTGGCAGAGCAAGGGGAGTCACTCAGGGATGTATTAGGACTCTTCTTTACATTGAGAAGTGCCCCTATTGTGGTGATAACGCTATCAGATTCAAAGACTGGAGAAGGGGGCTGACATTCTGTCACTCTCTCCTCCCACGCAAGGTGACCTCAAATCACAAACTGCTTGTTCTCAACTGGTTAAGGGGAAAAGAATGAATAAATCAAACATAGGCAAATAAGTGCATGCGTAAGTGTGTGGGTGCATGTGCATACAAGGATGGGAAACAATCTTTGTTGATAAGGACAGTTTGGGGCTGGGTGAGGTGGCTCATGCCTATAATCCCAGCACTTTAGGAGGCTTAAGTGGGCAGATCACTTGAGGTCAGGAGTTTGAGACCAGCCTGGCCAACATGGTGAAACCCTGTCTCTACTAAAAATAAAAAAAAAAAAAATTAGCCAGGCATGGTGGTGCGTGGCTGTAGTCCCAGCTACTCAGAAGGCTGAGGCATGAGAATTGCTTGAACACAGGAGGCATAGGTTGCACTGAGCCGAGATTGCACCACTGCACTCCAGCCTGAGTGACAGAGTGAGACTCTGTCTCCAAAAAAAAAAAAAAAAAAAAAAAAAAAGGCAGTTTGCGACAGAGCAGCGAGTGTATAAAACCTGTGAAACCTCAACAGTCACAGAATGGCCTCGGCTGTCAGCAGTTAGTCAACTAATACTTGTCAGCCCCAAACAATAAAAACAGTGACAGCTTTTCACTCATCTGCTATGGAGCATAATGTGTGGGTCAGGGGTGGGAGGGTCGGATAACAACATTTTTCTGTATCAGAAATTCATTTCATTACAAGGACTATATTGCAGCAAAGGGCGCCGGCCGACCCAGATGCAGGTACACAAAGTCCTTGCTCCCTTGCTTCAGTGCTTTCTCTGATTGGCCTTCTTCAATTCCATCTTCCAGGTTAATGATAAAAGCTTTCAATTCCCAATAAAATCTCCAAGGTTAATGTAAGAAGTTTACAGTGAAAAACTTATCACACTACCTGGTTTAATTCCAAGAGTTTCTCATATGGCCTAGGACGTGCCTGGCAAACAGCAGAGCCCACTATTTCAAAGACGCCCCTCCATGGGGCTCATTAGAATTGGGAGAATAACTGGGTAACTCAAGGGAACAGAGAGTTTTATTTATTTATTTATTTTGCTGGATGTGGGTAAGTGAATGATTATGCCTATCACTCTTTTAAAGGAAGCATGCCTGAGTACAAAAATGGATAGAAAGAGATAATAAATCACAGGTGACTTCAGTCCCTTTTGAGCCTTAAGTGCTATTTTATTTGAAAATGTTCAATTTATAATCTACAGTGTGGAATCTATAAATTTTCAATGGACACATCTGTCCTTTAGTTAACAGGGGGGATGTCAGGAAAGGTTTAGATCTTATTTAGAGCTCTGTGTGTGGGGTAGTCAGGCCCATTGCACCATCCCCAACAATATGCAGAGAAATAACCTGAAGCATAGCTCTTCAAAATTTAATGCAATAGACTAGAGAACATTCTACTCGCTGCATAGGGAAAGCCTCTTTTTCAGTTCCTTTAATCAGTTTTTATTTCATTTTTTCCCTTCAAGCTAAATCTACTAATTTGAGCTTGACCTAACTCAGCCAAGCTCTGGCTTGGCACTTCCAACTTCTGCCAGTCTGTCTTAGAACTTTGCCAGGCAAATTGTTATAGGGAAGAAAAATGAAATTGGTGAATGAGTTGTGAGAATGTCCCCCTCTGTTTGAAAGCATAGTCAACTCACAGTTACCAGAGATGGTGGCTTCCTGAGGGAGACCTGAATGAACACTGGAGTGAATCTGGTGAAAGGTATAAGCATTTTCAGACAATAGCATAGAGTGAAGTTATTGTTCACCTCTGCAGATGAGGCCTAGGAGACTTCTCAAAAGAAATCTGAGCCTACCTGTATCTCCGCTCTGCCCTTCCGTTTCTTCCATACTTTGCTTTTCCTCTGGACCGTTCTCATCTTTCAAGAAAACCGGAGGAAAAAAAATGTATCAAGTCAATTTTTGAAATATCTCTTTATGGCTAATATGCAGCACTGAAATTAATTGTAATCAATGTAGCATGACTCCCCATAAAGCCGGGCAGAGAGATAAATCAGAGGCATGAAACAGAAAAATTACCTACATAAATAGGTGCATTTATACTCATCTCTCCTCACATCATATGCTAGATGAAATGTTTAACTGCAGTAAACAAAATTCACTCAGTGGTCCCAGTAACATCTCTCTCCTCATTCCACATTTCCCGAAATATAATACAAACTTCAACTCCAGTCCACTTTTCTCCCTTGACTTAAATAATGTGAATTGTATTAGGAATGTTGGCAAAGTTTCTTGCCCTTTATTTCTGTTTCATATATGCTACAAAAAGGTCAATTTTCACTTAAATATGGCAATCTAACATCTATGCTATAAAATATTTTGTCTTGAACTGATTATGTTGGTTGAGTTTGTGCTGTAGTGTATAGTTATATGAAAAATGATTGGTCAGGTGTGATGAAGGCTGTATATTTGCAACTATCTAAAACTTTCTTTTGCCTTAAAATAGCTACTGTATCTGTGGATTTATCTGTTGAAATCATAAACTTTTTAAAGGTTAAGTATAGGCATGATTTTATAACTCATTGCTGGGAGGATCTCCAAATTGCTTTTGGTTTGGAAAATGAAGCAAATAAAAATGATGAATTTATACAAAGACATAAGAACAAAGTATTAAACATGTAGTTAAGTATAGAAAATAGAAGCAGAAGTTAGCAACCTATACTCATGGGGTTTAAACAAATACTTTGTCTCTGAAGGAGTGGAGTCCACCCCTTCTCTTTAAGTCCCGCCTGGCCGTGAAACTTCTTTAGACCAATGGAATATGGTGGAAGTGATATTCTGGGACTTCTAAGCCACCCTCTGAGAACTGGCAGCTTCCACTTTCTCCCTCTTGGAAGCCAGCCCCCATGCTGCAAAGAAGCTGAGACTGGCCTTCCAAATAGAGGGAGCCACACAGAAAGAGAGAGAAGGGATGTGTGGGGAGAATGAAGGGCCAGACTTATGAGCCAAGCCTTCTTGAACCTTTCCACCCAGCCAGCTGCTAAGCAAATGCAGCTGAGCGATGACCTCAGCCAGTGTCACGGGAGCAGAAGAGACAACCAGCTGAGCCCTTTAAAAATTCCTGACCCATAAGTAGGCCCGAATCACATAATGTTGTTTCGCTTGAGTGCTTTGACCTGCCATCTCCTCCTACTACCAACTCTTAATTCCAAGGCAAAAGAATCCTCCCAAGAGGAGGCCACCAGTAGTAGAGCTGAAGCAAGAACCTCAGAAGTGGTGGGGAAGCATTTTACCTGCAGCTCTGGAAAATGACCTATTAAAGAAAGTTTCAGATGGGGAAACATTTAGATTTGATCTAAATGGGGAAAAAAAGGTTTATAATAGAAGGACAGAAAAGGAAAAAAGAATGACATTCTGAGGTTGGCGAAGAATGTAGTCAATAAATAAATATATGTACAGGATCCTCTGTGTTGGCTTAGCCCTGTGTCATTTGTGATGGTGGACACAATATAACTACTACTTTTTTTTTTTTTTTTTAATAGACTCAGAATGTTGTCCAGGCTGGAGTGCAGTGGCATGTTCATAGCTCACTGCAGCCTTGAACTCCTGGACTCAAGCAATCTTCCCACCTCAGCCTCCTAAGTAGCTAGGCCTACAAGGCACATGCCACCAAGCCTGACTAATTTTTTATTTTTTTGGAGAGACAGGATCTTGCTTTGTTGCCTAGGCTGGTCTTGAACTCCTGGCCTCAAGCAATCCTCCCACCTCAGCCTCCCAAAGTGCTGGGATTACAGGCATAACACACCACACCTGGCCTGAATATGAGACCCTGGGGTGGCTCTGTATGCCACTTAAATTCAGTGTTCTAAATGGCATATTTATAAGTACCACACGATTATCTGACATTTTCCCTGTTCTGGTTCTCCATGAAGAAAACAGCATTGGCCTTTGCTCTAGGCAGGAAATAGTCACTTCTGCTATTCTTGCTGTCTTAACAAGCCCAAGTTGGTGTAGGAGCATGTGCAAAAAACTTAGCCAATATCTGTCCCTTTGGACTCAGAGTCACCAAATGGACTCAGAGTCAAGCAGGAAAAATCTGCCAGCTTCTCTGTCTCCCTCAACAGACCGACCTTTTAACAATTTCACAATAGCCCTGAAGTCTGCAGGTGACAGGCTTCCTTTAAAATGAGTCTGGTTACCACATGTTCTACAGAGTAGGGGTAGGGAGATTTCTTATGAAGAGAGGAAGATAAGAAGGGAAAGAAAAACAGCAATTAAATTACAGAAATGTGAGGAATTGATTCTAATAGTTGTAATGCATAAAAAGGAAATTCATGGTCAGATCCTGAAATGCAGCTTTCTAATAGTAACAACCAGTCTGGCAGTTTACCTAATCCATTGCTTCTGGGTTTTTACCCTTAGTTTCCTTGTGGGCCATCCCACTCCCTAGGACAGACATCTGAGTGGTATGCTTTTGTTTTCTACTTTGAGTCTCAGCGGCATAATTTTCTATTTGCAGTCTTTCTGCCCTTGGGAAGCAAACCCAAGAAACGCTTGGCACGTTTATTGCAGAGTGAATGCTTTCTAGAAGAATGCTGGATTTGCCATTCCAGTGACATGCCCTCAGATAAAAAGGTCCAGGTATATTGCTTTCATCAATTTCCAAGACAGTGCATCCTCAAATCCAGCAGGGGGAACCAATGTAGAAGGCTTTTTGCCCAAGCCCAGCATATGCATTCTTGGCCAATTAGATTAGCATTCATTTCATTCTGTTAGAAGGACATTTTGGCTGGCTTAGAACTTTCCGTCCATTATAAATGCTGCAAATAGGTGAGTTCTTAGTGAAACAGGGCTTCCACTGGTAGAAAAAGCAAGGTGCATTAACACAGTACCCATAAGTTTTTGATAAGGACAAGCTTTCTTTTTAGCAGCCTTGTCTGTCTAGCTATCTTCACAGGAAACATAAACAATAAACAGTTAAGCAGAGGGTTACGTAAACTTGAGGTTTTTAGAAGGGATTTTAAAAGGGTTGCAATAAAGATGAAGAAATATAGGGAAGTGTGAGGCTATTTTGTTAGCTTAAATAATGTCACACAAGCTACATTTTCTTAGTTAATGTATCTTTAAGATCACATATTTACTTCAGATAATAAATTTCCATAGGGTTCATGTTGAATGTGATATAACGCTTTACTTTCCCATGCTGAAAAAGCACAGTAATCTGTGAGAATTCTACTGGTTGTGTCCTTCTAATTTCTCCCATATTAGTACTCTACCTCCTACTCTTTCAACCAATATTTATCGAGCATGTACTGTTTGCAAGAACATTTCAGAAATTTTATAGAAATAAAGTAAAAGGCTCCTGCTGAAAAGTGACTATGCTAAGAAAGCAATCCACGTTTAGATTCTCCTACATGGGAGAATTCTGCAAGGGCAAAATGTCAACAACATGATCACGGATTGCTACCCTGATATTTGTAGTCCCTTTTGTGAACTCTACGTGGTGATAGGAAGACAAAGGAGAATAAGTCTGAATAAATCCACACCTATACTGGGGAAACGATCTAATGTGTACTTTCTGCTGGCATGCTGTTGTCTTTTCTTCTAAAGATCTACAGATTTCTGGACATAGACTATAGACAATTCAAAACCAGCCCTTTGCAGATTAGATTATTGGTCCCAATTCTTCAGTCCCTTATAATAAGATTATATATATATCAGTGTCCTCCCACTGTGAGCAGAGAATGTTTCAATCCCATTAATTTTGGGCTTGACCTTGGGACTTGATTTAGCTAATGAAATGCTAGTGGAGAGAATGCAAGTAAAGGGTTTACATGTGCTGCATAAATGGATTTGTTGCTTGTGTTCTTGACATTTGCCATGACAAGAAGATGTCCCTGTAGCTCCTGGCTTAAGGAGGATGAGGGATACATGGAGCAAAGCTTGAACCCAAGTCACCACCTGGAATCAAGCCCAGGCAACTCACAGCTTGCAGTAGAACCACCCCGCTGAGCCCAGCCTATATCAGCTGAACCACAGAGATCTTAAAAACCTATGAGCATGAGAATAAATACTTCTGTTGTAGGTAACTGCATTTTGGGGTGATTTATTGCACAGCATTATTATGGCAATAGCTGATTAATACATAGGTATGTTTATTTTTCTCAGCTCAGGAAGGCTTGAAGTTAAGTTACAAAAAAAATCAGCACTCAGCTGGGCATGGTGACTCATGTCTATAATTCCAGCACTTTGGAAGGCTGAGGCAGGCAGGCAGATCATGAGGTCAGGAGTTCGAAACTAGCCTGGTCAACTTGGTGAAACCTTGTCTCTATTAAAAATACAAAAATTAGCTGGGTGTGGTGGTGCACACCTGTAATCCTAGCTACTCAGGAGGCTGAGGCAGGAGAATTGCTTGAACCTGAGAGTCAGACATTACAGTGAGCCAAGATCATGCCATTGCACTCCCAGCCTGAGCAACAGAGTGAGACTCTGTCTCAAAAACAAACAAACAAACAAACAAACAAACAAAAACAAGAACAGACAAAAAACCACTCATAAAAAATCCAGTCTTTAATTTTGTATTTCCCCATCTAATTTTCATCTCATACATTCCAAAATTCTCTAGAAGGTGCATATTTGAAAAGTAAAATTAGCTGACATAACAGAGGAATGCTCTTGGAGAGTCTGCACTGTCATCAATAGAATGATGTTTATGTTTAACTACAGAGCTATGTGAGTGACAGAATAATATTAGTTAATGCCAGCTAACACTTATTGAATATTGCATATGTTCCACTCAGTGTCTAAATGCTTTGCAAAGGTTATCAAACTTCATTCTCATAACAACTGCATGAGGTAGGTATTACTAGATGCATTTCATGGATGAGACAACTGAGACACAGGGGTGTTAAGATTCCAC